GTGTGGGCGCAGAGTAAACTTGTCACCTTCTCCCTATTCGCGTACTCTGAGCAGCATATTACACACCTGTCCCACGCAGACACAATGTGAGCCAGGAAAAGACAACATGAGAAGAGAGAGAGAGAAAAACAAACATACCCATCGTCGTTTTTCTTTTTCCAAAAGAAGAAGCCACAGTTGTATCTGAATGTTGGCAAGCGAGAAATCATATCGTCCGACAGCCCTTTGCTCTCATGCCCAATTGCATCTCCCAACGACTGCAATTCCTGAGACAAAGTTTGACCTTTTGGTTGACTTGGTTCACTAACAAAGTTTCTCTACTTACGAGAGGAATATACTAGACACATGTTTGGTTTGAGGCAAATAAAAAAGCAGTAGAAAGAACAGAGCTACAAAAACCAACCTCGTAGCTCATGTTGTCTGGGTTGATGCCATTGGTGGCATTCGAAATTTCGACCTGCAAAGAGACATGGGAAACCTAATGAGAAGTGCCCCTAGAATGTAAATAAAAACCAGTGTCCAATGCTAAGCCAACTAACGTCGTGGCTCATGTTGCCAGCAATGACATTATGTCTGGCTGTCTCCAAGGTCCCAATCTGCAAAAAGATGGAAAAAACAGTAACCCACAAGCCTATGAAGTTGTGAAGTAGAAATACCACATTGGAAGAGATCATGCAATACCACCCTAGCAGGAGCAGAAGGAGGAGGAGGAGGACGATGAGGAGGAGGACAAGGAGGAGGAGGAGGCTCTCTTGGTGGAGGGGATTCAGCCGCTAAAGTGTAGATATCATCAAAGCCATCATCTATTTGTAATGATCGAGCTAAAGCCTCGTCAAGAGCCAATTGTGATGCAACATCTACACCAGATGAAGAACGGACCGATCCTGGTAAAGAATTGCTTTGACTAGTCTCACCACTTCGGGTGTTCCCTTTCTTTTGGAATGCCAAGTAGAGGCTTTCCTGTTTCACATCAGTAAAAAATATGAGAAAGTTTTAAATTTATATGTGAGACCGCATCTGTCAAATGTGAATGAATAAATGAATGAACCCCTTAACCATTGAACAATCTAAAGGTTCTATTGGGACCGAGCTAAACCTAATACGGATTCTTAACATCAAAATAAGCTCAAGAAATTACAAAAGCTGAACTATGAGCACGGACCCTTAATAGTGTCGAAATAATCATTTAAAGTTTTCTACTTCATATTTGGGGTAAGGTCTGCGTACACACACCCTCCCACAAACTACTTTTCTGGGATTTTACTGTGTTTGTTGCTGTTGTATATTCGTTTAAAGTTTTTTTCGTTAGAGGGTAAAAAAGCACCTGTTGTATGCGAATTTCCTCATAACTTAAACCACCATCCTCAGGGAAGCATTTTATCAAGTCCTCTGTAAATTCAGGTGGTAAAACGCTGCCGCTCAAGTGATGTTCTTGAAACTCTTGGGAACTCATACCTCTCTCTTCAACAACAAAAGCTGTGTTCATAAACTTGACCTGAACACAAAAGCTCAAGCTTTGTTTTAAAGCTTCACCTTTTATGCATGCATTGAAAGAGAATTGTTCAGCATGGAGTAAAGATCCTTACTTTTAATGCTGGTGTGCAATCAGATTACCACACATTCAGGAGATTAACTAATTGTATTTCATAGCATTATATAGTCATAATTTCTAGAAAATTTCTAATACTTTACGTCCATAATTTATACCTAGTAATTATAAAACAATCTCCTGCTAATCTTTCAATGCCATCACTAAATTCAGAGACCAAGCAGCAAACTAGAAAGCGTGAAACGGCACAAACCCCAAATTGTGATTTAATTGCATTTTTGTGACAAGCCATGATGAGGAAGAGAACACACTCATGAGTCATGAGAAAAGCAAACAAAAGTTCCAAAGAATATCAACCAACCAGAGGGCTAATCAAAGTGAAGGTTGGAGCCGGGCTTATATGCCCTATTACCCTGGCCCTCACCCGGCCCGACCCTCACATTGATGAAGGGTAGCCAGCCCTCACATAGGCCTTGTGGGTTCCTGGAGGCTTGAACCCTACCCTAATCTTATATCATTCAAACAAGGCAAACCTACCATGTATATTTACACTATGTGAAACTAAATGAGCTGAACAACATATTCGTTTCACAGAATGAATTGAACTTCAACCAATCTCTAGCTACTAAATGAATTGAACATACTTACACTCATTTCGTTTATCAACTCATATGAGTATAACTATGTGAAACAAAACTTTGTACCTTAGTTTTACAACGTACAGAGTCTCTGAATGAGTTGAACTATGTTCAACGAGCGGAAGCCCCTCTTCGATTGACTACGTACCTCTGCGCAAGTTCCGAGACTTTGTTCCTTGAAGAGGGAATGAGTGTCATTATGTTCAGTTGAACATACTCAAGCAGTGTCCTACGAAATTTCCTTCTAGAAAAAACTTTGAATTCATGTGTGAATTTGTAATTGAGCTTTGTTGGGAATTAAAGGAATTTTGTCCAAATCCAAATCTAAGTTCCGAAACAATTCGCAAGTGACTTCAGTTCCCTAACACAACATAAATGAGTTTTTTTCTTCAAAGTACTATGAATTCACATTTCCTACTTCCTAAAACCAGAAAAGTTCAATAATCACATGAGATTTCTTAAGAAAACAATTAGTTAGTTCAGCTCACAGGATTACCACACCATTAAAGCAAATTAAGCAACCAAGACACAAATAAAACGCACTAACTAGTCAAGAATTCAGCAAGACATAATTGCAGACAATTAAAAACAAGTTCTTGACAATTAACATTTTTTCCTCTCAAGAAACGGCAAATATTATAAAAGATTGAGAAAATTTAGATAAAGATTGCACCTTTAAGTCAAAATAAGTTGATGGGCACTTGACCCACACTTAAGCTTTCCTTCTATCCGACACGGGACAGAGCAAAAGGACAGAGAGAGAGTGACTGAGAGTGAAAGAGTGAACAGTTTCCTGTTATGCAACTGGGAAGGTGGTGAGAAAAGGAGGAGAGGAGAAGAAAAAATGGGATCTGTTGAAAAAGAAGGATAAAGCTATCTGTACCCCAAACTTTTGTACTCCATTTGTACACCGCAGGTTTGCACCGACATTTTGTGTTAGTGTAAAACTAAATTTTGTTAATACACGAACACTTTGTGTCCGTGTAAATTTTTGTTAACGCACTAACATTTGTATCGGTGTAAACCATCAAAATATTTGTGTGTAATTGCGGTGTACAATCTTTGGATCTTTGGTGTAAGTGTAGCATGGTCCGAAAAAGAATTTGTTTTTCTTTGAGTGAGAGAGAGTGTGTGTGTGTGAGGAGAGCAAACACTCGGGAGACAGCCATGCTTTTGTATACACCACAATAATGGTAAAATTATCTTTGTGTTTTGGATTTTCACCATTTTGTGAATAAAACAAGCCCTTCTTTACTCACTGGACCAGATATATCACCTAGAGGAATGCTAGGGGTAGACTATTTGGTAATGGTGTACCCCATTTGTCCCCCACTCATTTCTCCATCATACAATTTTTTTTATTTTTATTTGTTTAATTCTTTTTATTTTCTTGCTTTTTTGTGGTGATGGATGAGGTGGGAGACAAATGGGGTACATCTTTGGTATACCCCTAGCATTTTTCTATCACCTAACCTGTTTAGCTTTGATCTGTATGGGAAAAAAACTAAGAATGTGAGGAATAGTATCATTATCTTGGTGTATCTGTGGCATCAACTTCAATCTTTTGAGTTTCAAAAATGATAGGGTACACAAGTGTACCCCAAACATCTCCCACCCTCTCAATTACCACAAAAATAAATAAGAAAAATTCAAAAAAAAAAAAATAAAATAAAAATAATGGTAGAAGGAGAAGTGGTGTACATTTGGGGTACACATTTGGTACCCCAAATGAGTTCTCAGGCAAAAAAATGAGTTCTCCGTAATAAAAAAATCTTTTTTTCACTTTATCACTTACTGTAAAACTTACGGAGTACTCCGTATAATTATGATATCTCACATGGTTTGTTGCTAATATTCTAGCATTTACAAAGGTAAGCAAATTGTTCTTGCCCAATCCCTCTCACATCACTATTTCGTAAATTTCATTCTCGTCTCAAAATCTTGTAATGTTATTGTCTCAAGATTCGTTTCTCCATTTTTTAATTTTATTTATTACTTTTAAATTCAAAATTTATATAAATTTAATACAACTTTATTTTAAGAAAAAAGGTGAATAATTCTAAAAAATAAAAAAAAGGATTCAAACAATTAAAAAAAGCTAATACTCTCTCTGTACTAAAATGTAAACAACAATTACTATTTCAGTCTTCTGATAACTTTTGTTTGTTCATTCGTTTTGGTTGACTATTTGATAAAATAAAATATTCTTGTCAGATCTTATTTTGTAGAACTTTTGATCTAATTTTGAACGGTGTAATTTTTTCTTTTTATTTCTCTCCCAATTTGTAAATAAAATAATTTTAAAAGAGATGATATTTTGCATGTCGTTCGAAATATTGCTTAGATTTTGGGATGGAGCAAGTTTAACACTAAATTACGAAATACCACATAAATAAAAAGAGAAATTTAACGAGCTTAAAATTACAAAAATTGAAAATAGAGAGTTTTTTGAGTGAGATGAGTGAATTGACATGGATGAGAGTGATGAACGATACGTTAAAGTTATATAGTTGAAAATTGAAAAACAAAATTAAAAAATTGGTGGGGGTCGAGCGGCGCGGCGGACCGTCACCACAATTTTGTGCCGGAAACTCAGCACGGCTTTGCGTCGGAAGTGGGGAGTGTGCCGCGGTGGAAATCGCGGCTATCCTTTTGCTATGGTTGTGCAGCGTGGTGGTTCCCCCTTCCCAATGTAAATGCCCTTAACATTTGTATATGATCGAGAAGAACCATATTACACTTGCACCAAAATTTGTACCCCATTTGTACACTGCAGTTATACACAAATATTTTGATGGTTTACACCGACACAAGTATTGGTGCGTTAACAAAAATTTACACGGACATAAAGTGTTAGTGCGTTAACAAAAATTAGTTTTAAACCAACACAAAAATTAGTTTTACAAATAGCTTTATCCTATCGAGAATGAAGATGAAAGGTAAGCTCTTTTTTGGTACAGGAGCTATAATTATGAACTTTCTCGTCTCAAAAGTCTTAATTCAATTTCATTCAATAACGTGCAAAATCATATCATTTTTAAAATGATTTTATTTATAAATTAGTATAGAAATAAAAAGTACTTCCTCCTATCCGAGTTTATCTTCTTCACTATTTCAAGAAGTTTTTTGCGTCATTTACTGCTAAACTTTTCAAAAATTGTACGGATTCCCTCGAACTTTAAAAATTACACCAATACCCCCTAAACTTTTCAAAATATTATATCAATAGTCTATCTGCGCCAGATTTAAAGTCATATATCACACCTGAGTTCTACAATATGTTTTTGCCAGACATTATTTTCAATATCTTTAACCCCTTAAACACTAGATAATTATTCTCAGTTTAGTCCTTGGTAACCAAATTCGAAGGTCGGACATCAGTCGATAAAGCTAGTTATCAATTCATCAACCTCTTCAATAATTCATGATGTATTCATCCATATCTGAAAATTATATAGATGAGCGTGTGATTAACGTACTCCCAAATCTGACACATAGGAACCATTGGTGCAACATTTTTTAAAAGTGAAAGGGTGCAATGTTTATAGTTTGAGGGAATTTGTGTAATTTTTGAAAGCTTCAGAGGTAAGTGGTGCAAAAGTCATATTCCAAAATCATGGTAACTTTTTCTTATTTGTATTTTCATTGATTATTTGATAAAATAAAATATTCTTGTCAGAATTTATTTTGTAGAATTTTGATTTGTTTTTAAATATGTAAGTTTTCTTTTTTTTATTTATATACCAATCTTTAAATATAATGAATTGAAGAATACTTAATATTTTATTTCATTTTGCGTAAAAGTGAAGATAATTATTAGACGGATGAGTATAAATTACTCCATAAAATAATTATACAAAAACTTTTACAAAATAAGACGTAATAATAATATTTTATTTTATCAAATGGTCAACGAAAATGTGCGAACAAACCAAAGTTATCAAAGAGTCTAGAATAGTAACTAAGGCCATGTTCTCTTCCACTTATTTTTTGTAGTTATTCTTATTGAAATCAGATTAAATCAGATATAGCTTTAAATATAACTACATTCAGATCAGATAAAACCAGATCAGATCAGATGCAATCATATCAGGTGAAGAGAACAAGGCCTAAGGCATAAATTTTGAGACCAAAGAAATACCACAATAACCAAATTTTTGGTTTGATGAAAATTGGGAATTCTAGCTTAAAAATAAGTATTTAACTTATAAGCAAATTATAAGTCAGCTTATAAGTAGTTAAGCATATAGAAATATATCATCAGTTGACTTATAAGTTAAAAATTGCTTATGAGAAGTTTTGACCAGCTTATAAGTACAAAGAAACACTCATTATATTATTTTATCAAATGACTAACAAAAATAGAAAAAAAAATGAATAAAGTTTGAACCTAAGAATAGTAAACATGCTATTTAATTAGAGACAATGGTAATACAAAATAAGATGTGACAAGAATATTTTATTTTATCAAATGGTCAACTAAAATGAGTAAAACAAACAAAGGTCATCAAAAGACAAAAAAGCAACTTGACATTCTTTTTGAAACGGGTGGAGTACGGAGTTATGTTTTATTGTTTCTTATCATTATATTTACTTTTTGAATTACAAATTTAAAATATGTGTGCCATATATTTACAAAATATTCTATATAAATAAATATAAATATTAATGATTAAATTAACTTATAAATTTTGACTGAGATTATTTTTTATTCCATTTAATTGATTATAAGTATAAATTTAAAAATAAAATTCAAATACTCTTTCCATTCCCTAATATCTTCACGTTTTTCTGTGAATTTAGGGAGACTTTAAAAAAGTGAAAATTTACTAAAATAACTTTAATGAAAATGAGTAAAGTATATTAAATGAGATCAGTGAGGTATAGTAAATAAAGGAACCAATGATAATTGTAGTATTTTAAATATTAAAAAAAATAATAAGATTTATGAGAAACAAATACAAATGACTAATGAGAAGATATACGAAGGAGACAGTAGTATTTAACATTACATCAAAACTTTTACTCCTTTCATCTCAAATTAAATTATATATTTACTATTCACACGGTCAAACATAATTCACTTTATTTCTTTATTTTTATTAGTAATTTGATAAAATAATATAACTATATTACCACTTGTTTTTTAGATCGATTTAGATAATTTTTAAATATATAATTTTTATTTTTTAATTCTACTCCATTATTTATAAAAATTGTTTTGAAAATAACTTCAATCAATCATCTTAAATCGAAACTTCTTTTATCAAATACGGAGTATACTTCAAAAATCGAGGTAAGAAAAAGTTAAATAAAGTTTAAAGAGGTGAATAGCCACTAAGAAAAAATTTAGAACGGGAGAAATGCATAACCCAAACGACCCTCGATAACTGTTTCTTTTCCAGATTTTCAACAGCACATTTTTTGCACAGAAACACAGCAGTCAATACTCAAAATATAGTCTTTTAAATCCATCAAATGAGAGTGAAAATAGGTTGCAACAAACTTCCAAGTAACAATCTCTTAATATCATTTACGTCTGGTCTAGTTTAGTACATGGTGCATCATCATTATGCAATATCCTCCCCAACAGTTACTTTAATCTCCTCCGACTTGCCTTTTCCACGAGTCCTCGACTATGAGTTCGTCAACCGGCCAATCTTCATAGCTGTAAATTGGAGAATATTAAAAAAAAAAATTCCATAAACGCAACCTACAACATACTCTTGTGTGTGTGTGTGTGTGCGCGCGTGAAGGGCGGAGATGGTAAGAAAATGGAATTAGAATACTCCTTGGGGATTGAAAAGGTGTGCTAAGATGGAAGTCCCTAGCTAGGGGTAGAAGGGGGGTTTTGTATGATTAGGATGCTTAGAAGTATTAGGGACTACTGACCTTTCATCAGGCAGGTACCTGCGAATTGTGAAGGGAATCTTCCTTTCACGTAGCTCTTTCATCGCAATCTATAGGATGAAAATAGAATAACTGAATAAGCATGAACTAGGAACAAACCCAACCATTTAGCAATCATATTTACAGAGCTCATGTTGACATCCAATCAGTGGTAAGCTGCATTACTTCAGCTAAGTGTTTCCTTACTAAAACAAGGATAAACACATTAATAAGAATTATTATATATCCACCTTCAAAACTTGGTGTTAGCTGCTACCAGTTTGATGTGCTGATTAAAAAGGTTATTAACTTTCAATTGCAACGATTCATTTGGGTATGTCTGAGCAATTAAACTAATGATCCATATCTCCTCATTTCCTAAACACTGTTAGTTGATCACATGACATGAAGTAGTGTGAGCTATTAGCAAAGACACATTCTGAATATATCCAAACAAAATCAAATTGGGTTTGTCCTAAATTGATACAGAGCAAAAAAAAGGTTAGGTAGTTTTTTAGGTCTTCAAATAATCTAATCCAATACTGAAGTAGTTGTTGAAGTCTACAAAATGGGAGGCTATGCCACATAAATCAAATCTTGATGGGAAATAACGAAAAAACTTTAATAGAACATCTAGAAAAAAGATCATGGAAAAAGTAAAAAGTGGCATACTTTTGATAACAGGGGGCATATTGAAGACAATTACCTCAAGTGGATCACTTTCACCCTCTAAATCAACCATCACAGGAGCATTCATGCTGATCTGAAGAGCACGAGTACCCAGAATTCTAGCTCTCTCGTATTTTGTCATGTACTTCGATGTTTTCCGAGGCTTTTCCACGGGAGCCTCTTCAGTTTTTTCTTCACCTTCGCCTTCACCTTCACCAGGTATGGCATCAGGTAACTCTTCATTATTAGGATCTTCCTCTTCTTGCTCACTTCCGTCCTGTTAAAAATAACTCAAACAACTACATTATAAATTATAAAATAGAACAACGAAACTAATAATCGATCGTGATATTCTAGGTTACCTCGACCTGGTCCAATGGCTCATCCTCATATCTGAAAGCACATCCATTGATAATCCATCAATACCAAGAAAACGAGACAAGTAAGGTCTTTTTAACAATCCTAAAGCTATGATCCATCAATTAAACTACACACACAAACACACAGCAATCCATAGTCCATAGAACATAAACTAGACAGACACATAATCATCAATCAACTATTGTTGTCAGAGGTCTTCAAGGTATTCAATTACAATCACAAACCCTAATATTCAATCACTGTTACCTGCAAGTTCTAGAACAACTATCCATCCTTTATTGAGTTTATTCTAATTTTAATTTTAAAAAAAGTGATGAAAGGGATTTGAACACAGTTCAATGAATCCTTACAGCTTCCGCTCCTATAGAACCTAACCCATTGTGCAAAAGATGACAAGGACCCTAATTCGGAATCGCGATTCCCAATCTTATAAAAATCTTAGTGAAAAGTTGGATTTCTTATCTGATGCATGCTTTACGCAGGTCTTCGCGGTATTCAATCATAATTACAAACCCTAATATTCAAGTACTGTTACCGGACGATGGAAACGCCTAGACTCTTGGCCAAAAAAACAGATAGAAATCGAAAGGATGAATGCGAAAGAGAAAATGTAAACAAGATACGCACGCGCCGTCCATATCGTATTCCTCGTCCGCCATTGTTGTGGTTATTGCTTCTTCCGAACGCCGCTAAAGCTGAACCCTTTGCTTTCTCAGCCTTCTCACCGGATAATTTCACAAACCCGGGACGAGAGGGATAGAGGCGTATTTATAATTGCGAAGGCCTGCTCTCGATCATTCGGTTACTCTTGTGGGCCGGCCCAATTATTATTAAAGGGCCGCCGATACGTAACTACGTATTAGCCATTGGCCCGTGTTTGGAAGACAGTGAGAGTAAGGTAGCCCATGAAGAATAGAAAAACACTCCCCCCTTCTTTTAAATTCTTCCCATTTTGACTTTGGGCAATTCACATTGGTTGTCTTGTCTAGCTAATTCAATTCAACTTTTCATTAGATTAGTTTTCAAAATGTTAATCAATAACTATGTATTTTTTTAAATTAGTCTTCAATATTTACTTATTGTCGAGATGGTACTCAATAATGCTTTAGAATAATGTTGATTCAGTACAATCTCGATAATTAGTTCAACCACTGTCAATTTGCTATTAATTAATTAAGACTTGACAGATCGAATGCTAACAGGATAATGTTTTTAAATTTGTTTTAAATTATTGACATACTTGTTTCATGGTCATTACACAATTAAAAAAGCCTAAAGCATAATCGATCTGGACCGGTTCGGTCTTAAGTATTTCACTCGGGTCTAGTCCAAACCCGAATAAATTAAGGTCTGGTCTTCGGCCCATGATTTTGATCATCTCGGTCTTCAAACCGATCCGATTCAATCCGATTCTGATTCGATATAAATATATCCTATCACATTTTATCATAACATAGACGTACAAATAAAGGATAAAATAACAAAGAAACTCGTAATTAAATTAGGTTTATTTTAAATATTTTCATGGATCATATATCTTGCCATGCATGCATGTATCATGCGTGCTTCAACTAACTTGGCGCAGCAGCAGCGGGTACTTCATGCAAAGACTCATCCTATATATATATATGCTTATATTTCACACCTATATATATATATATATATATATATATATATATATATATATATATATATATATATATATATATATATATATATATATAAACACCCATTTATCTTCTCCAATTCAACCATTATTCTACCTTGTGATCAATCCATCGAGAATATATACTTACAATTAATCTACACAACACACACATATATATAATGGCAGGCTTGAAGAGGAGCAGTAATGTGGTTGTCGTCGCCGCCGCCCTCCTCGTGGCGGTGCTGGCTCTCATGACGGCGGCGGTGAGCGGCCAAGGCGACACCTGCAGCGCCGCGCTCGGCCGCCTCAACGTCTGTGCCGCCTTCGTGGTGCCCGGAGCGGCGTCCACCACCCCGAGCGCCGACTGCTGCGCTGCCCTCCAGGGCGTCGACCACGACTGCTTTTGCAACACCCTCCGCGTCGCCTCCCGCATCCCCGCTCAGTGCAACCTCGCCCCCCTCTCCTGCCCCGGTAATTAATTAATTACTCCCTCCGTTTCAAAACAATCTTCTCATTTTGGATCAGTGTTGACTCAAATTATTTTCAATTTAGTCTATTTAAGAAATGCTCCCTCCGTCCCCCTAAGATGTTCTCATTTTGACTTTTGGTGGTTTTTAAGGAAAGTTAAAAAAAAGTGAAAGTTTACCATAATACCCTTAATGAAATATGGGTGGAGTGTATTAAATGAGGTGGGTGAGGTGTAATAAATAAAGTAAGTGAGTGTAGTTATGGTATTTTAATGGTTAAAAAATAAAATGAGAAGATCTATTGTGGACAAAGAAAACGGGCTATTGAGAAGATCTATGGGGGACAGAGAGAGTAAATAATAGCGTAAAATTAAAAACGAGAAGAAATAAGAGTGTATATTATTATTATCATTATTGTTTAATTAAAATTTTTCTCTCTTTTTTTTTTCTTCAATGCAGCGAGCTAATGGAGGGAGGGGAGTGAGACTCGAAGAATAATAAAGCCTAGCATGGAGGATCCATTTCTTAGCCATTAGATATATGGATCAAGTTTGGGTTTTATTAGGACGTGTTTGGTGTCTGCTCTTACTTTGATGACTAGTTTGTTTGTTTTCTAAAATAATACGGAGTATTGTATGTAGGGAAGTCAAAATATTCTGAGGTGCCAAACGGGGCATTATATTGCCTGCAGCCTTTGTATTGCGCTCATCAGATTATAAATTTCCAGTGTAATAATAATGGCTCTTCAAGTTGCTAAGTAGTACTGGCGTCCCTCAGTATTTGTCCAGTTTTGACTTTTTTCGGTCAACTGTTTTCAATTTTTGACTTATAATTAAATAAAATATATATTGTATTTTAATTAAATAAAATAATATTTTGAAAATATTTGATATAATAAATCTAATAAAACTCTTTTTTGTATTAATATCTAATACTCCCTCCGTCTGGAAATAATGTTCCCAGTTTGACTTTTTTTCATTTTTAAGGAGTGTTGACTTTAGGATGAAAATGTCTAAAATATTTCTTATTTTCTTTGATTTGCCACTAGAACCACTGCCCCAATCATAGGTCCATGAACTACCACCCGGCCACCATTGTTTGCCACCGCCGCCCCAGTCCCCACTGTTGGCCGCCGCCGCCCCAGCCCCCACTGTTGGCGGCCGCCCCACTGTTGCCCTTACAAAACAAATTAGAAACTTTTTCGAAATGAAGTACTTTCACGTAGATAAAGATTTTACAATAAAATCAATGCACAGTTACATATTCATATACTACTTCATCAAGTCATAACAACATTTAATTATTAAGGTGTAACAAACAAAACATTAATTAAATACTGCAGTGAAGAAACAATACATTAAATTTGTAAACCCTTGATAGTGCTTTAATCGATCAATTAGAACTGGCTAACATGTTGTAATGAATTTTTAGTACTAATTCCAAGCAGAGGGCCGTAGGGTGACACGTGAACACTATGTTTGGTTCATGGAATTTGGAAGGAAAAGAAAAGAAAATGATTTTCCATTAGTTTCCTCACCAAAATGGGAGAAATTTGGTTTTCCATCCTCTTAATACATTTTGCTTTCTCATTTTCTTTTCCTTCCACTTTTCTTTTCTTTTCCTCTCTAACCAAACAAGAAAAAATGTTTTTCTTCTCATTTTCTTTTCCTTTCCCTCTCAAATTCCTTGACCCAAATATAGTGGAAGTCAACATACAGTTGACATGATGAAACACGCCCCCCAGTCATACATTTGGAACAAAGGAATTAATTAAAACTAACAACTCATAGGCACCCAAGTTTGTTTCCTTATTTAATTTAGAGACTTGAGAATTAAAACTAACAACAACTCGATCATAGGAAAGATCAATGTTTATTATATTAATCATTACGAATAACGCCGAGTGTAAATTAAAGTCCGGGGTTGCACACCGCTCCCCGACATTCATAGGCGAAGAGGTCGTTGCTGGTTACGTACGTTGCTTGATCGATATAGAACTAACATGAATAACCAAGCTCGCCAACACAGATTTGTAATCAGTAAGAATATGACTTCATGATGACAGATAGATTCGATTGTGATCTTGTATTGAGTCCACAGGTGTCTTGATCCAACTAAGTGCTTCCTTAATACCCAAAACTCATACTTCCTTCGTCCGAAAAAAGATGTTTCCATTTTAACTTTTAAAAAATTTAAGAGATTTTTTTGTGTTGGCTTTCCAAAAATACCCTATGTGATTGGTAAAAGTAGTATGTGATGTATAGATAATTAGTAAAAAATTATTATGTGATAGACATGTTAAGAATTAGTATGGGTAAAAATGATTTTTTAAGAGGAATAGATATGAGAATGATTTTGTGGGACAAGTAAAAAGAGAAAGAGAAAAGAGTTTTTGGGATGGAAGGAGCAGAACTTTTGGCATAGTTTTTTAATATGTAATTTTTATTTGTAAGTGATTTTAAAAAGATATGAGATTTTGTTTCATAAATCTCAATTTGTAATTAAATTTGGGGCAGAGAGAGTATTAAATGTGGTAAGTAAACAATTCTCAAGAAATTTAAGATGGAAATCATCTTGTTGTCCATCTTTTTTATTTCGCAACTATATTCAAAGTCAAGATTTGTACGTGGGGCAGTAATTATAGTTATATTTATGATATGTGAGGGCCAACAAAAAAATAAAAGACAAATGAAAATGCACAATACAGAAAAGAACGTAAAAGATATCCAACTTTGGCATAAAATATGCCCAACCTGTCCATGATGATCTCCAATTAATTCCATTTGGGTACATTTGAGCTTAATGCATTGTTTGGATAAAGATAAATTGGAGAGAAAATGAAAACAAATTGTATGTTGTTAAGATAGGTGGAAAATAGAGAGAAAAGGTCAGAAGAAAGAAAATGTGTTCAAACTGATTGAAATGGAGGGCAAATTAAAACTCGGCCAAATAGTTGCAATGCCCCTGTGGTTTAAAAAATTGGCACTAATACGTCATCACTCTCATCAGTTTTTAAAACTTAATTCTAAAGTTCACGTGGTTTCAAAATGTTGCACCCACACTTCCTCTGGTCATTTTCCGGTGAAAAATGAAGCATTGGTGCATATTTTTCTAAATCATATGGGGTACTCGTGCTCATTTCTTATTTTTTTTGTTTATTATTTATTTGGTTTTTTCTTTTTTTCAAACTCTTTTTTATCTATTTGTTTCGTTTTTCTAGAAAAGTTTTTTAAATTTATTTTCAATTTTTATAATGTTTTAAAAATTCAAAATTCTTTGTGTTTGAAATAAAAAAAACTAAAAATAAATAGCATATACTCAATCTATCTAAAATTAAACATTCACTTTTTGTTTTCTAGAAAAATAAATTTCAAAATAAAAAAATAAAAATATGGAAAAATGAAATGAAAAAAATTGAAGCATGTAGATTACAAACATGGCACATGACTTAGCAGCACCGGAGTAACGATATAAATATGAGACAATTCTGGGAATAATAACGTAAATTAATAAAATTAGAAGTATTTATGTAAAATTGTGAATTTTGGGAGTATTTATGTCAATTTTTTCATAAATTAAACTAAAAGAGCACATTAAACTTTTAGAGTTAAAACTCTCTAATCCCATTGATTTATTTCATGGGTTGCAATTTATTGTTACGTTGTGTGGCCTGACATAATATTTGACGTAGCCTTAAACATTCTTATTCGGTAGTCTTAGGGGATGTTTGGTGAATTTTGAAGATATTATAAGTTATAGGTCTTGAAAGCTGGAGAAAGGAAATGTATTTTGAAATTCGAAACAAAGTTGCTTGGAAAGACCTAGCATCACGATAACGATGGTTGTTGGCGGTGACAATGATAGTCGGTGGCGGAGATTGATAACGGTTGAGAGAGAAATTAAAGCCTTATATTGATATCTCTCGAATTCGGGAGATATCAAAATCCTCTCTTTGGTAGATTAATGATCTCTGAAGATATCAAACTTGATATCTCTTTCGACTTCACCAAACAACAAAAAAAAGTTTTGATATTTGAAGATATCAACATTCATACTCCGTATATCTTTTGCTCACTAAACACACCTGATGGTGTAAATTACTTGACCGGTCAAACTATACTAGACCGGGTCTAGAATAGTTTGCTTGATTTGGCAAAGTAAGAAAGGTAAAAACACGCAAATTGACCGGTAGGACTTTAGGTGGAACACCTGTAGCCCGATTTATATTATAACGGAGAATGCACGGGTGCTTTTACAAGGGAGTTTAGAGAGAATGAATTCGGATCCCTCTTTCTGAGGTTTACATGAGTATTTATACTAGGCTAAGGAGACAGGACCACGTGCGCCCACGTGGGGGCATGCTGCTGATGTGGTGCGAGGTGACTGGTTTCGTCCTCAAGCTGCCTTGTCGCCTTGTGAAGGGGATCATTCCCTTTGTCAAGTAGTGCCTTGGATGGATTCTTCAGCATCTCCAGTTGTCCTCTACTGACACGGGTCGCTACACGCCAAGCCCTCGCAGATCCTCCTCTGCCGACACTTTCCAACCCCAGAAACTACACCGGGTAATCTCCGAGGGACGAATTTATCGAAGTCTGGAATAAATAGGACGACAACGTAGTTTGACCGGTATACTTTTTTGTGAAGTGTACCGGTCATATTTTGGCCGATGATATGTCGTTTTGCTGACAATTTAAGTCTCCCTTCCAAAACTCTCGAGATTGACCGGTCAACGATTTGGCCTCCTTCTTTGACCGGTCGTGGGTGGAATACACCCATCAACACCCTAAAATCTTTTCTTAACATATAGACTTACATTTGAGGTTTTGATTGAGTAAGTTCTTCTACATGTTATGAGAGAATCGCTTGCATAGAGACCACGCTTTCGAACTCTACCCCCATCTAATTAATTTTCTTTAAAAAATAATTTTCACATGCAAGCCTTTTGCAAAAATAAGTTGTTTCCCTGTGAAGTAATAACATGCTAGAGTATAAAATATTTTTTGAGCCTATAAAAGATAAAGTTTAGGATAGGTAAAAGTTACTAGACTGGATCATAAGACGCTTAAGTTAAATAAAATGGAAAAATCCAACTAAGAAATTCATAAATTCATACATTTATCTTCAACTTTTTTTGCGTGTGGATACATTGAGAAAACATATGTTGCCACTATTGAAAACTAAAACTCTCTTCTTTTAAATTGGAATTTCAGAGTTGGATGTTGGAATAAACTGAAATAAGTTGGAAAAAGTTGGATAAAAAAGAATTCATAATTGTTTGTTTTGAGGTGGTATGTTATAAATTTGATTATATAATGTTATTCTATATTCATTATATATATAAATTCATATTTTAAGTCGTTATTGGATGAAACTGGAATTGGAAAAAGTGGAAAGAAACACTAAAAAAAATGAAAAAAATATAGAAATTATATTGAAGAAGCTAAGTTTTTGAAATATTGAAGAGGTTGATATATTCTCGGGGGACATTGTATTACGAGACAAAAGTTATGGCACTTGCTGAGTGTGCTTTAATAATGTATTAATGTTTGTGGACCGATAGACTTGCCAATTGCCCTCCATTAATTCATTTCCTAGTATAGCGCCCGAGCATTAACACATATTTCAAGTCTTTTATAGAATAAATCAATCAAATATGAGTAAAACAAAGCAGGTATATTTAATTTAGAATTTCTAATTCATATTTTTATCTCAAAATAAGAGTTTGTGTTGTAATATTATGATATTGTGTAAGT